TACTGCCATGTGGACGTGCGGAGGATTCTGGTTTTCGGCGAAGATTTCGTAAGGAATTTTCCATGTGTTTGCAAAATGTTGAATTTTATTCAAATATTGTCATTATTCTTTAAGAATGATTTCGTTTTGCTAGCTGAACTCAATTGCTATTTATAAGGGAAAAAAATGGGCTGTTTTAGTGCCTTTGTCCGCTGAAAATCCAGAATCTGTTTACGCTATAGTGTCTTACTTACCAAGTATTTACTGTTCAATGTTAATATTTATTTCGAAATTTAAAATGTATAAAACAGTTTGGCATCGTTTCTCAAACTTTTTGTATTCCTAATTAGTCTATTGTGTAGCCTTGCGTAAAAACAAGTGAAATTTTAAAATATGTATTAATATATGTACCATTTTTTTTAATTGTCATCCGAACCGATCCGGTCATATTCTGACGTTCTCATACTATTCTGAGCTATGTTTAAAATTTCACGTCTTTAGCTCATCGGTAAGTTAGTTTAAAATTTATTTCTAAATTCGACCAGAACAGCAACACATGAAAGCGAGTTGTGTAATTGTGTACACACGTACTACGTTGAAACTTCTTTACGACATATCATTCTTCTTTTATTTTACATACATTTTTAATACCGTACTGAATTTCCTTCGCTACGTCGATAAAAAAATTTCATTGTAAAACGAGGTTAAAATCGTGCTTAAAATGAAAGGTACCATTTGATTGTGACCCAGTTTGAGAAGCGATGGTCTGTTATGTATTTGGCAGCTAATAAAACATACTAAAATAAACGAAAATGGTTGCAGGTTAAATAGTATTGAAATTGTTTTGGTATATTTAATTTAATTTATGTAATAAAGAGTCAGGAATTCCACCGTCCGCGTGTGTATGGAGACTGGCGTGTATGTGAGCCAGGCGTGCGGCTTGAGTTGGACTCCACAGTTGTCGGTCGGCGTTGTTGAAACGGATATTATATATCAATAAAATATTTATTCACACTGTGTTTTATTTATATTTTAATGCAGGAAATTTTTCTCATAAATTCTGTTCTGTTACAGTCTATCAAAATTCCACTGCTGAATTAAGGCCTCCCCAAAGATTGCCTCCTAAGATGGACACTTGCCATAGTTTTTATTTTTATTTTCTGGTACTCTGACGCCAAACCTTACACTATAGTGTAAAAAAAAACAAATTGTTATGGTCGAACATTCAAATACGATAAATTATTTGGTATATGTAATTATAATATGGAGATTCTTTTCATTTCACAAGAGAATCCGCTTCTCTATTCCGTAGTGCCGGGTTGGCGACCGAAGTTGTTTTTATTTCTATATAAATAAAATAATACGCGTGCGCGCATCACGGGAAAACTATTGGATTGTTTTCAATTAGGTTTTCTAAGATTTATTTCTTTAACACTGAAAAAAATTTGTGATATTTTCATTAATTTAAAGCTAGTAAAGTTTCAAGAAACTATTTTTATACAGCGTTTTTTCTCTCGTAACTAACTCAGATAATTTATATGTTTTAGCTACAAACGGAGCAACAAATAACAATGTTTACAAAGATATTTTGTCTTTTTGATGTTTTTTCCTTCGTACTAATATTTTGGTTAATATATCAATCAATGGGGACGAAGTCGAAGTATCAGCTAGTATTTTATTAAAGTTTTTATGTTGTATGAGGAGGCCTATGTTCAGCAGAGGACTTTATGGGCTGGGATAATGACAGAGTTAAAATATTGTCGTAGTAGGTAGTTTCAAGGATTACTGTTAGTTAAAGCGAAACTGGATAGAGTGCAAATTGTTAAATTTAACGTTCGTAAGAAGCATATTCAAGTTTCATGAGCTTACAGTTGATATCCTATGAGCACTAGGTGGTAGCAGTCCGTCTGCGTAGGTGCCACTCTCTAATATATTTCTACCGCCAATTGCACTGTTGTTCCGGTCGGAACGGTACAGAGAGCTAGTACAATTTCACGCCGCGAGGTATCTCATATTAGACCCCAGAGGTGACAATGCATCTGTATCCAGTGGCGTAGCTACCCAGGGGCTAGGCGGGGCCACTGCCCGGGTCACTACCCGGGGCCCCTCAAGCTCAACCACCATGAACGACGTTCGAAAAAATTATACATATAGTATGTCTACTACTTACGTAGACACTACTTAGTAGTAAGTAGATTTGCTTTATAAAGCCGTGCAGTGGGCGATAAGGAGCTAATGATGAAGTACTTTTGCAGATTGCACCTTTAAAGTATTTAGTTTAATTCAGATAGAGCCCCAATTTCATTTTTTACCCCGGGCGCTTGGTTGTATAACTACGCCACTGTCTGTATCATTTGCTTGAAGATTGTTGCAGGTCTCTATGGACCGCAGTAGCTACTTACCACCAGGTGTAAGTTCGTTTGTCAACAAGGTGATCAAATAAAACAAGTGACGTAATACAATATTATAATTTATTATATCGCCAACGTAGCGTCTAGCACCATCTCGCCGCAGCTGTACAGCTGTACACGCCCGCAGTACCACTGCACGGACGGACAGACACATCGGGACACAGATCTTAGATATGTATATTAAACGGAAGTGCCCATTCATCCGATAACAGAACGATTCATTTATTTGTGTCTAGTAAAACATCACACCAATGTCGCAATATCAGTGACAGTGGGTTTTTGGTGCGGCTGGATGGCCCCTCGGGTCACCATAAAGCCGCTTACATGATAATGATATAAACGTTTACCATAAAAAAATTAAATATAATGGAGTGATCACTATAAATGAGTCTTAGTACATCAGTGGTCCAGGGGGACTACTTGACAACTCCCAAATCCTGTCAAATTATTAATTGAATCTCTAACGCAATAAGTTTGGTGCAAATTGTACTCAAAACAAAATGGCGCGTTCTTACACTAACCCGACCTGCATCCCGACGCCGCTGTCCTCTGCCTAAAGCTAAATAAGCGAGTAATCGATCAACCGAGGTAAATCTATACATTTTATTCTACACACTATTAGTTTTTAATTAAGCTTAATATTACACATAATTGTTGCCAGCAAATTGTCAATTTTGTTGCCCGGTGAGTGTTGCCATTTAAAAATGTGTGTTTTTCACTAAGATCATAATCACAAAAAACAAGCCAAGAGTTTCTAGTTCGTACTTCTGGCAGTTCTATTTTGAAACCGGTGGCATATTGTTTGGTTTGATATACCGATACACCATTCCCATGAGGTTGGCAAAACACTTTAATGTCCTAACATGGAAAGTCATAAATCATTTGGAACATAAGACAAAGCTTGTAGTCACAGCACGGTATGAATCCACTCTGATGTGGGCTTTTTCTTTGAAATAATATCGAAACAATTCGTTGTTAATGCCAGGAACATAAGAGAAGCACTTGACCTGCACAAAGGTGACAATCTACCGACATTACAGTCTAGCCGCAAGCAGTATTACGAACTCTAGTAGTAAGGTATGATATGGTGTTAATGCAAGTCGTCTAATATCTGGATCTTCTTTATTTACATTATTTACCCATCTAAAACGAGCTCGGAGTAGCTCGTTGCTCTTTGAACTGCGCCTATGACGCTGTGTTTTCCTATAACGGAGATGGGCCTACGTCATAGGATCTCTTTCTGCGTCTATGTCTATCGAAATCAAAGGAATCGTGGGCAATTTTGCTTCATCCTGTGTTAAGAGTGATGAATTACTTACTCTCATTTCCGTTTTAAATCTATTTCACAAGATGCCAATTGACGTAATTTATATTGTAAATGTTTATTGTACTATATTCTAATGTTATAGTAAATCCAAAATGGCGCAGGTAATGATATCAATAAGATGGCGCCCAATCTTAGTCCTCAGTCGAGGATAAATGTATGTCCGGTGAACTTTACTGTGTGCAAGTTTATCAATAAGGATTCTATAAAAGAAATTGGTGGCGCCAAAAATATCTTTTTTTTTCAATTTTTTTTATTAATTTTAAAAATTCTGCTTTGATAAATTCAATCTGGGTATGACGCGCCCAGAAATTTGCAAAAACAATATGGCGTCAGGATAAAGCAAAATAAAAATTTTACTTGTAATTATATCACTTTAGTCCGCAACTTTTTCTTGTTCAGTCGCAGCCACCTTTCTGTGTATTACGTCTTAAAATTTGACATCTACTCAATGTATAATTTACTATGTAAGATAATATCACCTTATGTAAGGGTGCAAGACGGTCCAAAATTAATTGTAATTATCGCAACAAGTAAAGAAGCCATAAAGGTGTTGTGTCCAATCACAAATAAATAAAACTGATATTTCTTTGCTTTCATTCGAGATAGTTTCGTAATTAACTAGGAATTGTGATAACAATTTTATATCAATTAAAGTATTAAATGAAATAATTTTTTACGGATTTTATCGTGTTTAATTTAACTTTTTAATTCCCGACCTTTCGAGTGCTTTACAGCATCGATGCGCATGCGATGATATATTCAATACTGTCTTCTTGTTGTTACTGTTGTATATATTATTTAATCATGCTCTTGTATATGAACAACGCCGTGTTGTTGTGACAGATTTTAGTTTCGGCATAAACTTTGTTTCGTTGCTGAATCCCCATCAATTATAAAATATTTACAGTGTGAGTAGATTGACATATTTGATAAAAGCGCCATCTGTCGTACTTGTGGTAATAAATTGTTAGTATATTGGTAGAGCCTCCCACAGCATGAATTGTCATACGAACCACATTTGGCGAACGCAGTTAAAGATCACTTAACCTTCCTTACTAAAACGACCTATCCATTGTCCCGTCGGCGTTCGGTTGAGTTTTGACAAAAATAATTTCATTTGATTATTAAGTATAGATTTATAAGCATGCAGCCACAGCAATTAAAAAACGATCACGCCGCCACATTGATAGCTTTTCACATTGATACGATTAAAGGTGGAAGCTTCGCGAATGGCCCGCCATCTGTCGGCACGATAAAGTTATTAACAACAGAGTGTGAGTAGCTCAAAGATCCGTTTCCGATGCGTGACTCTCGAGCCAATGACGTTCTCTCTCCTTGCGTCTTCTGCTGCGACACGAATCCGTCTGTAACACAAGAATAATGTAAATATTTCAAAGTATCCCCGTTTAATGGCGGGGAAGAATACCCACTACCCCATATCTTGCCGTGGGTGTCGTAAGAGGCGACAGTGGGAAACTATAAAGAAGATGGGCAGCAGCATCTTTCTGATAACAAAAAAACAACAATAACAAAAAAACTGCGGTTGCCAACTCGCTCGCTAAAAGTGGCAACTATGGCAATATACCCCCCCCCCCTTCCCTCAATGAATAAAGTTACGAAGAGACGGCCCCCAGTCACCAGCCGCCCCGCTAGTCCTGGCTACTGTGGCGACCATGGTAACGGCGGGGCAGGGGGTGCTAAGAATCTCCGGTGGAGGTTCGGTTGCCACCTACGACTCGACCTGGCGACTTATAACGCACGCAGCGTGAGCACTGACGAGAAGATCCTGGAGCTGGAAGAAGAGATAGACAAGTTGCGCTGGAATATTATAGGATTATCTGAGGTCCGAAGAGAGGGGGAGGACATGGTAATCCTCGAATCTGGTAACTTGTTCTAACACCAGGAGGGCAACCTTGTCAGGAGGAAATGTATGAGGATATATCTAGAGCCATGTATTCCTCCAAAACCCACTATACGGTGTTAATGGGAGACTTCAACGCAAAACTAGCCACAAGAGAGAACGGTGAGCTGAAAGTAGGGAAATTCGGAATAGGGCAACGGAACCCAAGGGGCCAGCAGCTGGCTGACTTGATGGAGAAAGAGGGACTCTTTATGATGAACTCTTTCTTCCAGAAGCGACTCAAGAGGAAGCGGACCAGGTCGAGCACCGACGGTTCGACAAAAAAATGAGAATAGACTTCATTATGACGACCAGACGTCAACTGTTCAGTAATGTCTCAGTGATCGAAAGGGTGAAAACTGGTAGCGATCACCGAATGGTGAGAGGCACACTGAACCTAAACGCTAAGTTGGAGAGGTGTCGTCTAATGAAAACAACGCTCCCTCCTCCTCGTGCTCTAGTCCAACGTCCCGAAACCTATCAGTTTGAGCTACAAAACCGTTTTCAGTACCTAGAAGTTTGCAATGCAGTGGACAATATGAATGACAAGCTCGTGCAAACTGTCCATGCGGTCGAAGCTAAGTTCTGCAAGAACCGCCGCAGAAAAACACAATAACTCTCCGACCACACTCTTAATCTCATTGCTGTACGAAGTCAAAACAGCTGAAGACTGCAAAGCTGCAGTCTTCAGGAGATTTGACAGCGTACAGCTGTCAAATCTCCTGAAGACTGCAGCTGAATAGACAGATCTCCAAATGCATGCGGCGGGACTTGCGCCACTTCAATAATACTCGTATCGAAGAAACGATCGAGCGGAACCAGGTCTCCAAGGTCTTTGCCAGAGATCTGTCTGCCAAAAAGAGCCAACTGTCAAAGCTGAAGACCGAGTGTGGCAGCATCGTTTCCGAGACACCTAAGATTTTGAGTGAGATTTAGAGATTCTATGGGCGGCTGCACACATCAACGTTGGAGTCACACGCAAGTGTAAGTAACGATCCAAGAGCGAGTCCTATCCAACACTATTCCAGAGATATCCCGGACGTCAGTCTGAGCGAGATAAGTATGGCTCTCCAGCACCTTAAAAACGGCAAGGCCCCAGGTGAGGATGACATTACAGTGAAGCTTCTGAAAGCGGGCGGAAAACCAGTACTTGAAGTCCTTCAGGAGCTCTTTAATTCCGTCCTCCATGGTGGCACTACACCGGAGGCGTGGAGCAGAAGTGCGGTGGTCTTGTTCTTCAAGAAAGGCGACAGTGCTCTCTTGAAGAACTACAGATCGTTTTCCCTTCTGAGCCGCTTCTACGTGCCTGTTTTCGAGAGTCATTACGAATCGTCTTGCACGCAGACTTGATGACTTCCAGCCTCCCGAACAAGCCGGTTTCCGAAAAGGCTTTAGTACCATAGACCACATACATACTCTTCGGCAAATTGTACAGAAGTCCGAGGAATACAATTTGCCACTATGTATGTATGTGGACTGTGAGAAAGCCTTAGATTCCGTCGAAATTTGAGCGGTGCTGCAGTCCCTTCAGCGGTGCCAAATGGACTATCGGTATATCGAAGTGCTGAAGTGTTTGTACAATAGAGCTACGATGGCTATCTGCGTACAGAATCAGAGTACGAAACCTATCCAACTGCAGAGAGGTGTAAGACAGGGTGACGTTATATTCAAGCTACGGGATTGGAAAGGATACGGTATCAACATCAACGGCGGGTACATCTATCACCTTCGATTTGCTGACGATATAGTCCTTATGGCAGAATAGTTGGCGGACCTAAGCACTATGCTCAATGACCTCAACAGTACCTCCCAACGAATAGATCTTAAGATGAACATGGACAAAACGAAGATCATGTATAATGTCCATGTCACACCTATGCCAATAGATGTTGGGAGCACTAAACTCGAAGTTGTTGACGAGTATGTTAACATGGGACAAATAGTCCGACTAGGAAAGTCCAACTTCGACCGAGAGGTCAATCGACAGATTCAACTCGGCCGGGCTGTGTTCGGGAAATAACGGCACAATTTCTCGTCAGATATACCTCAAAACTTGTAAACTAGACTGTACAATCAGTGCGTGTTACCAGTGATGAACTCTGGAACTGAGACGTGGTCCTTCACTGTTGGCCGCTTAAGGTCACTCAACGAGCTATAGATCGGGTAGTGCTCGGGGTTTCTCTGCGTGATAAACTCAGAAATGAGTATATCCGCAGTAGAACCAGAGTGACCGACATAGCCCAACGGATTAGTAAGCTGAAGTGGCAATGGGCCGGCCATCGGTAGCGAAGCTCCCATACAAGCCGAGAAGACCGGCTTGCCATATTAATAAGATCAACTAATAAAATAACTCGTAAACTGTTTCAAAGCGCTCCTATGTTTTACATAGGTCGTGACCTCGTAGACTTATTATGTAACGTCAACACTTGATACAGCTACTTTACTGCGCGGTACTGCTTTCATAAAAAAGGAGTTGAGTTGAGCGAGTAGTCGTCTCTCTCGCACGCGTGGGCTTTTTACCGGGCTTTCGAGAAGACGATCGTTCCCTTTCTAACCTGTGGCAAAATGTTCTATAATGAAATATAACTACGATTATTTATATAGCAATCAGTATGGAGATCAGAAGCCAGGCTTTCAGTGTGAAGTTGTCGAGCGTGGGGGCGTGCGTTTGCAAAGTTCACTTCACAATTTCACATTCTAATGTTTACTCTGTGTGTTTACTGGAGCGAATGAAATTCGCAATGTTCGCAAAAGTTCAAAATTTATACTTTTTTTATATAATTTTTAGTGAAAATGGGGAATAATAGCGTTTCTTGTGATGAATTGAAGTGTGTTAAAGTGCTAATCGGCGAGGAAAAGGTAAAATGGAAAAAGAGAAAAGGTAAACTTTTATAAAACTGCTAAAACAACAAAAACATATCTTGGGCTTGCCCTAGTTTGGAGCCCTAGCTTCGCCACTGCCGGCCATATAGCTCGAAGAACCGACAACCGATTGGGAAAACAGGTTCTAGAGTGGCGCCCTCGTACCGGCGTAAGAAGTGTAGGGCGTCCCCTCGCTAGATGGAGTGGCGACCTGGTCAGACATGCAGGAAGTCGATGGATGCAGGTGGCTCAGGACCGGGCTTTGTGGCTTGGGGAGGCCTATGTTCAGCAGTGAACTTATGATGGGCTGTATAATGATGAATGATGATCAAAGTATACCAACAAGTAAGTATGTATGAGTGAAGATTGTGTATTCAAGTAGAGTCGTTCAAGGGTGTATTCCGATATACACTGTGACCACTGTGTGACGTCAATTCAGTATACTGCGAAGCCGTTCCTTTTTAGTTTGCTATAATAGTTACTGTTTAAAACGGAACGCAGTGCAGTATACTGTCATCCACATTTTTCGACACTGTTTTCATATAAAAATAATCATCTGTACACGTTTTCTGTCCAACAAAAAAAAATTATTTGAATGTTGTTGCTTTTAAAACTTAATGCCTGAGTTTATTTCAATAATAATATTAATTAATTAACAATAATAATAATTTGTGGAAGCTGTTTAAACTCTAGGCGCTGTTATATTTTTTGATCACGTGATCAAAGTATTTAGTACTTTGATCACGTGATCTTGAAAACGCCAGAACACACAGTACAAAAATGGCGGCGATTTATGACGTTATATATTTCCCTGGGGTACTACGGCAGTATACTTTCAGTTCACAATAGAACGAATTTTTCACCAGTTAGAGCATTGAGCAGTGCTCGCAGTGTATATTAGAACATACACCAAATGCAGTTTGTGTGAGTGACGTCATAAGCCCACAAGTAAAGTTCCGTAAATGCGAGTACTGTATGCGAGTAGAGTCGAGTGAGAGAAGCGGTGCGAGTAAAAACGGAACGGACCGGTGCTGCATCGGGGCGTACTCTCATCATTCGCTCGAGCGCTTTCTTTTCTCGAATCGCCATCGCTTCCTGGAACAACACGTTACAGATATTTATTTGATCATTGTCTATGATCGAACGACAATAGTTCAAAGGTTTTACAAGTAATAACTTTAAATAAATGTTTTTACATACCTACGCATACACGCTCGGCGATTAAGAGTACCCTCATTCTTCGCAATCGCCGAGCACGTATGAGTAGGTATATAGAAGTGGAGGAGGCGGGAGAGGTGTGTCAGGGTCGTGCCATATAGAAGGCGGTAGTCTCGGCCTACCTCTCTGGGTGACGGGTAGGATAAAGGTGTCAAACGAGCATACAGTCCACCTGATGCTCGAATAAGAATCGAAATGTAAATATGTTGTCACCCCTGAGGACTAAGATGGAATGCCTTGCTTCCAGTGAAAATGGTCTCCGGTTCTCTACATTCACTATGCTAGACAGAGCAGCATTAAGCTGCTATTTGACGCTGGTATTCTGTGAGAGCGTGGTCCTTCCCCGATCAAGCCGATCCATTCGTGGTACTACTATAACAATTATAGCTGGAGCATGACTGTATCATGTATAAAATGTATGTATGCAGGTTTTTAATAAAAGTGCATGTGAATTTCGTGTATTAAATGACTACGCATGTGAAATTATAAAAGGTGAAGAGTGAAACGACGGCCATAAAACCTCTGAATATTTATTGTCAGAGCGCTTCTTCAGGGTAATATTGTCGTCGAGACACTCACCTAAACCTATGTCATATTTAAAATTTCACATTGCGGAAGAAAAAACAACAGATGAAGTTTATTTTGTCAATCGTGAAACATTCAGTCTATTATCAAGTTCCCCCGCCGAGTGACTAAAAGAGAGAGAGAGAAAGAGAGAGAGAGAAAGAGAGAGAGAGAAAGAGGGCGTATGCTGCGTGGTCTGGTAAAGCTGGTGATCCTCAAAGTAACCAACGTAAAATAGCAGCTTAATGCTGCTCTGTTTTGTATGGTGAGTGTAGAGAACCGGAGATCCTTTTTACTGGAAACGAGGCATTACATCTTAGTCCTCACGGGTGATCTGCATTTAGATTCGTAATCGAGAATAGATGTAGATGTCTATGAGCCGCAGCAACCACTTACGTGGACTGTGTGCTCGTTTGTCACCCTTATCCTATAAAAAAGGAGCGTCGACGGAAACCTTATAGCCGTCCGGATGAGAGGTCAGCAGAAGGTCCAATAGGGAAGGTGCATGATGATCCTCCACGTCTGGAATCCGCGAAGGCGAAGTATACAGCTGTGTAAGAACATATGTCAGAGCAAAGTCATAAACAGATCTCCCCGCATTATCGGTTGAACGTGAACCGAGCCATTGGGCGTGGTGGGCGTTAAAATCGCCAAGGATCACGATCTTTGCGAATGGGTTCTGCTGTAACAACGAATCTGTAGCTATTTGGACGTGGTCGATGAGTCGGTCTGTTTCGGCATTACCGCTGTGGGACCTATAGAGGCACCCGTAGACGCGGGGATGGTCGTCGCTGTCTACGCGCAGTCATATAATCGATTTCAGCCCGGGGCGCAAAGGAGTGTTCTAATTTGTACCCCGGGTAGGAAAGATATGAAATATCAGCCGGAGAGGACACCCGAGTCTCGGTTAAAAAGAGCAAGGCCGGCTTCGTCGTCTCTAGATGGTAGTGGATAACGTTAAGGTTGGAATAAAGTCCCCTGATTTTCCAAAAATTTACGGATACCGTGACAAGGGTCGGGGCAGCCTGAGCACCCACGCTCAGGAGTGGAATTGAGTCTCCGTCCATCTGCACACACCAAGCGAAACGCAGATGTAAATCACTACTTGACGCTGATATTCTGTGAGGTCGTGGTACCACCCCGGTTCGTGCCGGCCCATCCGTGCGACAGCAAATGCAAAAATATTGCGCCACGGAAACGCATTTAAATTTATATCGGATCATCGTGAATGTTTATATTCTTTCAATATGAAAAAATCAATAAAATTTATTAAATATCCGCGAGAGTATCATGTTACTTATATCGAAAATATGGAGTTGATATGAGACTTAGGTATTTTATGTAACTTAGTAAATCCTCTTATTAATATATATTTTTTTCATTTAAATACGTATACGCACATGTATACATACATTACATTTTACCATTATCATCATTCTCATCATTACATACGCTCACAAGTCCACTGCCAATGCGGACCTTGTGCAGTTTATGTATTTATATTATATGTTTATGTTATGTGGATGTGTAACCTTGTGCAGTTTATGTAACTATGAATAAAAGTGTGGTGATGAAGCAGAGGTGTGATCACCTGCAGGGCGACGGCGGCCTCCATCTCGGGCACGCCGACGTCAGCGAGTGCGCCCCCCGAATCCTCTTCCTCCGCGTCTGCAACCAAGGCCGCGTGTCACGTACTGGTTACGCAGGTGGTGTAAGAAGTCAAGGAGAAAGGCGCACCTTGTGTTCCAGGTGCCCCTTACCTGACAAGAGAGAGGGTACAAGGGGAGGAGAAATCCTTCCCTGCTATGAAGGGCCATGAGAGGCTGCTAGAGGCGTCCAGCGCCGGTGGAGCAGCCGGATGTGCGTTAAATATGCGTTCCCGTGACTCTGCACTTGTTCGACGAAGGTGGAACACCATGGGGTTTTAGTCGGTATGAATTCGACATAATGCATCTTAGTCCCCGTGAGGCGGGTATGTGTAGGTATTTCCCTATGTTAAAATAAGATAAAGTTAGATAAGGTTAGGGTGTAAGCTGACCATGGCGGGAGAAGAGCCTGGGCTTGGGGTCGTGTGCGCGCAGCGCCACGGTGTCGGCCTTGAGGCGCGCGGCGTGGCGCCGCAGCCGCGCCTCCAGCGCCGCGCTCCAGCCGCCCGCCCCCGCCGCCCCCGCCGCCCCCGCCGCCCCCAGCGTCCCGGGGGACGCGCTGTAGCAGCTGCAACACGCCAAGCACAACGTTACAGCCTACACAGTACGCCGCTGAACAAACCTCTACCCTGTACATTGTTACGTTGAGACACTGTGCCTTAGTCGCTACGCGTATCAGGCAGCTTGCTTAGGTCCGGTGCTAGCTGTTTGAACACCCGCGTATAATAGCGATTAGGCCGCCCCATGTACAACTCTACGCTGAACTCAGTATAAGTGAATCACTGGAACGGATCGATAACGTTCAATCCGTTGCTGTTTGTTCCCCGCGACTTCGTCTGCGTGTATTTATTACGATTGAATCACATGGGTTTGAATTTTTTTGCGCAGACTTAACCTCAAAAACTATTTAATCAAAAACTGAGTTATTACCAACGTATTCCAATACATAATATCCCTAAAAATTTAGTTTATTATAAATAACAATGTTAAGAGAAACAAAACAACACGTGCACAAGAACAATTCAAAAGGTTTGCAATAACTGATGATGGCGGTCACTGTTTATGAGCGAGCGGAACGGTAATATATTTAAGCGCAAGTGAGTAAGACAATACAACAGACAAGGCGAAGATCCCCGTGTAGCGGCGAGGAAGAATACCCACTACCCCATATCTTCCCGTAGATGTCATAAAAGGCGACAGGAGGAAACTGAGGCAGAAAATGGGCAGTAGCATCTTTCTGATAACAGCAAAAAGCAATAAAAAACAACTGGCAACTATGGCAATATATAGTTCGGCTGACACTAAAAAAAAAAAGAGAATCTGATTTCGGTGCGGCGAAGTAGGAAAGCGCGCGTCGCCTGCGCCGCCCGCTCAACACAACGTGGTGTCTCTTTCCTTCAATAGTATTCATTTCAATGATGCGATGTTAGGCTGGATTTAGTGCTCGACCGACGGTGAGCGCTGAAATCAATTGAGCGTAGCTGTATCAATGAAAACCTATTAATGGCTACAGTGCAGCGCTGATACTCATACTTCATTTTTTTCATAAAAAACGGACAAAATATCATTTGCACCCAATAATTGTAAACCGTTTAATTGAAGGAGAATTTTGTTCAGTGTATTCTAAATTGCAAGAGTAATGTTCATGTATCAATGTTCATTTTTGTTCGCGATAATGCGTACGCGCGTACGGTCGGTCGCTCTGAACGCATGCATGTACCGCCATAGCGCGTCAGTCAACCGACGTACGTCGCACCGACGAACTCGAGCGACGGTCCTTGTACGCGCAACATAACCGTACGCGCGTAATACTTCATCAGCACTGCACTTTAGCCGTTAATAGGTTTTCATTGATATAGCTACGCTCAACCGATGTCAGTGCTCACCGTCGGTCGAGCACTAAATCCAGCCTTATGGTATGTTTGTGACCCCGGCAATAACCGCTGCGCGACTGTGTGTTGTCTAAGTACAGGTTGCTCTAAAGTACTATTTTCTAAAATTATAAATAAATACGTAAACAATAACGTTTAACGGAAATATAATTTCTTCATAAAACGAAAATGTGAAAACGTATTTCTGAATTAAAGTCACCACTGTAGAGCAACGTTGTATAACCATGAGTGCCTCCAAAGGTAAGAGAAAGAAATAAAAAAGGATATAGCTATATAAGAGAATAGCTCATAATAAAATAATAATATTCCAATTTCAAACCTGCCCGCCAAGCATCACAACTATGGCAAATATTCCCCGAAAAGTTTTATTCAGCAGTAGACTTTTAGGGCGTGATGGATGGCTAGATAAACGACCATAGGGTGAATACTACAAAGGTGCAATTACTCCGGCGTGTCCTGGTGGTGGTGGTGGTTCGGCGGCAGCCAGGGCCCCGGCGACAGTAGCGGCTCGGGCAGCGTGGGGCCCGCCTCCAGCCGCGCCAGCAGCTGCAGCGCCACCAGCTCTGCAGCTTCACGCTGGTAATCACAACGTAAGCCAAATCAATACGAATCTTAATTAATACGTTCTTTTGACCTATTATTATTTGACTAGCTGTGCCCAAGCAAGCGTCGTTCGCACGCCCAGCCAAGTATTGAATTATTTTAATTTTACATTATCTCTTAAACTATCCGTCCAAATAACATGGTATAACAAACAAAGTTTATGTTCATAAAATTGTCTTGATGATGAAGTAACTTTCATTCGTAAGGATAAGGCCATGCCTAATAATAACGCTCATAAATCACTTTTAAATTTTCAATATTTTTTAGTCACAAAATACCAAATTATGGCTTATGTATAAGAAATAGACATATGGTATCGCGGACTTTTTTTTAGACGGAGCAAAGATCTATATTTTTCTAGAACATTGTATTTACGTATCCCTAACGATATCACCAGCGTACGCGGATAAATCATTTCGGGAGTGCTTTTTCTTCTGACTTGCTTAACAAATATCCATATTTAAGGCTAGCTGAGTTATATAGCTTAATGCTAGATAGCCTATACTATTTCACATGAATCTGGCTATAATATAAAAAAAGAATTTTTCAAATCGGACTGGTAGTTCCAGAGATTAGCGCGTTTAAACAAACAAAAAAACAAAAAAACTCTTCCGCTTTATTATATTAGTATAGATTGACAGATCCGGAGAGAGCTTTCATATCACAGAGTCATTTATGCACACAAGGTAGTTTTTGTGTTTTAATTTAGCAATGGTCCAGGTTCGTATGCGGGTGCGTGTGGGTAGATGCGTGCGTCTTTGAGGGTGCGTGTATGTACGTGCGTGCGTTAGCGTGTGTGTAGGTGGGTGCGTGTGTGGGTACGTACGTGTGTCTCCGTGAGCGTGTGCGTGTGTGCGTGTATAGGTACGTGTACGGATCCATGCGTGTGGGTGAATGTGCAAGCATAGGTGTGTGTGCAAGCGTAGGTTTTTGTGTGTGCGCGTGGGTGTTTGAGTGTGCGTGTCGGTGCGTGCGTGTGTGTGTGTATGTATGTGCGTGTGTGTGTGTGCACAATGTGTGCAGTGTTGTGCGTGTGCGTGTGTGCGTGCACACCTCGGGCGAGCACTGGCGGTGTTGCGTCTCGGCGAGCGCGAGCAGCACGTCGTACGTCTCGAGCGCGCGGTCGGCGGCCCGCAGCGCGCTGCACAGCGCCACACACGAAGACTCTTGTGCTGCGCACGCGCACGTTAACCTGCGCACAATGTTACGAATTTATTCATTCATTACAACCCTTCGCAGCCGAAAAATAAGTATGCATTTATATTGCTGAACCCATGAAGAATCATGGCGTCATTTTTGTTGCTCTTAATTTCTCTGCTTAGTACATCCAAATCTAGGCGGCAGTCTGCCTACAGTGGTGTAGTATATAATGTGTATGGTGTGGTGAGTTATGTGATGTACCTGTGTGCAGTGTGTAGTGCCCGCGCAAGCGCACAGTCGAGCAGGCGGCAGTCTGCCTGCAGTGGTGCAGTGTGTAGTGTGTGTAGTATATAGTGCGTGCGGTGTGGTGAGGTATGTGGTGTACCTGTGTGCAGTGTGTAGCGCCCGCGCAAGCGCACAGTCGAGCAGGCGGCAGTCTGCCTGCAGTGGTGTAGTGTGTAGTGTGTGTAGTATATAGTGCGTGCGGTGTGGTGAGGTATGTGGTGTACCTGTGTGCAGTGTGTAGCGCCCGCGCAAGCGCACAGTCGAGCAGGCGGCAGTCTGCCTGCAGTGGTGTAGTGTGTAGTGTGTGTAGTATATAGTGCGTGCGGTGTGGTGAGGTATGTGGTGTACCTGTGTGCAGTGTGTAGCGCCCGCGCAAGCGCACAGTCGAGCAGGCGGCAGTCTGCCTGCAGTGGTGTAGTGTGTAGTGTGTGTAGTATATAGTGCGTGCGGTGTGGTGAGGTATGTGGTGTACCTGTGTGCAGTGTGTAGCGCCCGCGCAAGCGCACAGTCGAGCAGGCGGCAGTCTGCCTGCAGTGGTGTAGTGTGTAGTGTGTGTAGTATATAGTGCGTGCGGTGTGGTGAGGTATGTGGTGTACCTGTGTGCAGTGTGTAGCGCCCGCGCAAGCGCACAGTCGAGCAGGCGGCAGTCTGCCTGCAGTGGTGTAGTGTGTAGTGTGTGTAGTATATAGTGCGTGCGGTGTGGTGAGGTATGTGGTGTACCTGTGTGCAGTGTGTAGCGCCCGCGCAAGCGCACAGTCGAGCAGGCGGCAGTCTGCCTGCAGTGGTGTAGTGTGTAGTGTGTGTAGTATATAGTGCGTGCGGTGTGGTGAGGTATGTGGTGTACCTGTGTGCAGTGTGTAGCGCCCGCGCAAGCGCACAGTCGAGCAGGCGGCAGTCTGCCTGCAGTGGTGTAGTGTGTAGTGTGTGTAGTATATAGTGCGTGCGGTGTGGTGAGGTATGTGGTGTACCTGTGTGCAGTGTGTAGCGCCCGCGCAAGCGCACAGTCGAGCAGGCGGCAGTCTGCCTGCAGTGGTGCAGTGTGTAGTGTGTGTAGTATATAGTGCGTGCGGTGTGGTGAGGTATGTGGTGTACCTGTGTGCAGTGTGTAGCGCCCGCGCAAGCGCACAGTCGAGCAGGCGGCAGTCTGCCTGCAGTGGTGTAGTGTGTAGTGTGTGTAGTATATAGTGCGTGCGGTGTGGTGAGGTATGTGGTGTACCTGTGTGCAGTGTGTAGCGCCCGCGCAAGCGCACAGTCGAGCAGGCGGCAGTCTGCCTGCAGTGGTGCAGTGTGTAGTGTGTGTAGTATATAGTGCGTGCGGTGTGGTGAGGTATGTGGTGTACCTGTGTGCAGTGTGTAGCGCCCGCGCAAGCGCACAGTCGAGCAGGCGGCAGTCTGCCTGCAGTGGTGTAGTGTGTAGTGTGTGTAGTATATAGTGCGTGCGGTGTGGTGAGGTATGTGGTGTACCTGTGTGCAGTGTGTAGCGCCCGCGCAAGCGCACAGTCGAGCAGGCGGCAGTCTGCCTGCAGTGGTGTAGTGTGTAGTGTGTGTAGTATATAGTGCGTGCGGTGTGGTGAGGTATGTGGTGTACCTGTGTGCAGTGTGTAGCGCCCGCGCAAGCGCACAGTCGAGCAGGCGGTAGTCTGCCTGCAGTGGTGTAGTGTGTAGTGTGTGTAGTATATAGTGCGTGCGGTGTGGTGAGGTATGTGGTGTACCTGTGTGCAGTGTGTAGCGCCCGCGCAAGCGCACAGTCGAGCAGGCGGCAGTCTGCCTGCAGTGGTGTAGTGTGTAGTGTGTGTAGTATATAGTGCGTGCGGTGTGGTGAGGTATGTGGTGTACCTGTGTGCAGTGTGTAGCGCCCGCGCAAGCGCACAGTCGAGCAGGCGGCAGTCTGCCTGCAGTGGTGTAGTGTGTAGTGTGTGTAGTATATAGTGCGTGCGGTGTGGTGAGGTATGTGGTGTACCTGTGTGCAGTGTGTAGCGCCCGCGCAAGCGCACAGTCGAGCAGGCGGCAGTCTGCCTGCAGTGGTGTAGTGTGTAGTGTGTGTAGTATATAGTGCGTGCGGTGTGGTGAGGTATGTGGTGTACCTGTGTGCAGTGTGTAGCGCCCGCGCAAGCGCACAGTCGAGCAGGCGGCAGTCTGCCTGCAGTGGTGTAGTGTGTAGTGTGTGTAGTATATAGTGCGTGCGGTGTGGTGAGGTATGTGGTGTACCTGTGTGCAGTGTGTAGCGCCCGCGCAAGCGCACAGTCGAGCAGGCGGCAGTCTGCCTGCAGTGGTGTAGTGTGTAGTGTGTGTAGTATATAGTGCGTGCGGTGTGGTGAGGTATGTGGTGTACCTGTGTGCAGTGTGTAGCGCCCGCGCAAGCGCACAGTCGAGCAGGCGGCAGTCTGCCTGCAGTGGTGTAGTGTGTAGTGTGTGTAGTATATAGTGCGTGCGGTGTGGTGAGGTATGTGGTGTACCTGTGTGCAGTGTGTAGCGCCCGCGCAAGCGCACAGTCGAGCAGGCGGCAGTCTGCCTGCAGTGGTGTAGTGTGTAGTGTGTGTAGTATATAGTGCGTGCGGTGTGGTGAGGTATGTGGTGTACCTGTGTGCAGTGTGTAGCGCCCGCGCAAGCGCACAGTCGAGCAGGCGGCAGTCTGCCTGCAGTGGTGTAGTGTGTAGTGTGTGTAGTATATAGTGCGTGCGGTGTGGTGAGGTATGTGGTGTACCTGTGTGCAGTGTGTAGCGCCCGCGCAAGCGCACAGTCGAGCAGGCGGCAGTCTGCCTGCAGTGGTGTAGTGTGTAGTGTGTGTAGTATATAGTGCGTGCGGTGTGGTGAGGTATGTGGTGTACCTGTGTGCAGTGTGTAGCGCCCGCGCAAGCGCACAGTCGAGCAGGCGGCAGTCTGCCTGCAGTGGTGTAGTGTGTAGTGTGTGTAGTATATAGTGCGTGCGGTGTGGTGAGGTATGTGGTGTACCTGTGTGCAGTGTGTAGCGCCCGCGCAAGCGCACAGTCGAGCAGGCGGCAGTCTGCCTGCAGTGGTGTAGTGTGTAGTGTGTGTAGTATATAGTGCATGCGGTGTGGTGAGGTATGTGGTGTACCTGTGTGCAGTGTGTAGCGCCCGCGCAAGCGCACAGTCGAGCAGGCGGCAGTCTGCCTGCAGTGGTGTAGTGTGTAGTGTGTGTAGTATATAGTGCGTGCGGTGTGGTGAGGTATGTGGTGTACCTGTGTGCAGTGTGTAGCGCCCGCGCAAGCGCACAGTCGAGCAGGCGGCAGTCTGCCTGCAGTGGTGCAGTGTGTAGTGTGTGTAGTATATAGTGCGTGCGGTGTGGTGAGGTATGTGGTGTACCTGTGTGCAGTGTGTAGCGCCCGCGCAAGCGCACAGTCGAGCAGGCGGCAGTCTGCCTGCAGTGGTGTAGTGTGTAGTGTGTGTAGTATATAGTGCGTGCGGTGTGGTGAGGTATGTGGTGTACCTGTGTGCAGTGTGTAGCGCCCGCGCAAGCGCACAGTCGAGCAGGCGGCAGTCTGCCTGCAGTGGTGCAGTGTGTAGTGTGTGTAGTATATAGTGCGTGCGGTGTGGTGAGGTATGTGGTGTACCTGTGTGCAGTGTGTAGCGCCCGCGCAAGCGCACAGTCGAGCAGGCGGCAGTCTGCCTGCAGTGGTGTAGTGTGTAGTGTGTGTAGTATATAGTGCGTGCGGTGTGGTGAGGTATGTGGTGTACCTGTGTGCAGTGTGTAGCGCCCGCGCAAGCGCACAGTCGAGCAGGCGGCAGTCTGCCTGCAGTGGTGTAGTGTGTAGTGTGTGTAGTATATAGTGCGTGCGGTGTGGTGAGGTATGTGGTGTACCTGTGTGCAGTGTGTAGCGCCCGCGCAAGCGCACAGTCGAGCAGGCGGCAGTCTGCCTGCAGTGGTGTAGTGTGTAGTGTGTGTAGTATATAGTGCGTGCGGTGTGGTGAGGTATGTGGTGTACCTGTGTGCAGTGTGTAGCGCCCGCGCAAGCGCACAGTCGAGCAGGCGGCAGTCTGCCTGCAGTGGTGTAGTGTGTAGTGTGTGTAGTATATAGTGCGTGCGGTGTGGTGAGGTATGTGGTGTACCTGTGTGCAGTGTGTAGCGCCCGCGCAAGCGCACAGTCGAGCAGGCGGCAGTCTGCCTGCAGTGGTGTAGTGTGTAGTGTGTGTAGTATATAGTGCGTGCGGTGTGGTGAGGTATGTGGTGTACCTGTGTGCAGTGTGTAGCGCCCGCGCAAGCGCACAGTCGAGCAGGCGGCAGTCTGCCTGCAGTGGTGTAGTGTGTAGTGTGTGTAGTATATAGTGCGTGCGGTGTGGTGAGGTATGTGGTGTACCTGTGTGCAGTGTGTAGCGCCCGCGCAAGCGCACAGTCGAGCAGGCGGCAGTCTGCCTGCAGTGGTGTAGTGTGTAGTGTGTGTAGTATATAGTGCGTGCGGTGTGGTGAGGTATGTGGTGTACCTGTGTGCAGTGTGTAGCGCCCGCGCAAGCGCACAGTCGAGCAGGCGGCAGTCTGCCTGCAGTGGTGTAGTGTGTAGTGTGTGTAGTATATAGTGCGTGCGGTGTGGTGAGGTATGTGGTGTACCTGTGTGCAGTGTGTAGCGCCCGCGCAAGCGCACAGTCGACCAGGCGGCAGTCTGCCTGCAGTGGTGTAGTGTGTAGTGTGTGTAGTATATAGTGCGTGCTGTAGTATATAGTGCGTGCGGTGTGGTGAGGTATGTGGTGTACCTGTGTGCAGTGTGTAGCGCCCGCGCAAGCGCACAGTCGAGCAGGCGGCAGTCTGCCTGCAGTGGTGCAGTGTGTAGTGTGTGTAGTATATAGTGCGTGCGGTGTGGTGAGGTATGTGGTGTACCTGTGTGCAGTGTGTAGCGCCCGCGCAAGCGCACAGTCGAGCAGGCGGCAGTCTGCCTGCAGTGGTGCAGTGTGTAGTGTGTGTAGTATATAGTGCGTGCGGTGTGGTGAGGTATGTGGTGTACCTGTGTGCAGTGTGTAGCGCCCGCGCAAGCGCACAGTCGAGCAGGCGGCAGTCTGCCTGCAGTGGTGTAGTGTGTAGAGTGTGTAGTATATAGTGCGTGCGGTGTGGTGAGGTATGTGGTGTACCTGTGTGCAGTGTGTAGCGCCCGCGCAAGCGCACAGTCGAGCAGGCGGCAGTCTGCCTGCAGTGGTGCAGTGTGTAGTGTGTGTAGTATATAGTGCGTGCGGTGTGGTGAGGTATGTGGTGTACCTGTGTGCAGTGTGTAGCGCCCGCGCAAGCGCACAGTCGAGCAGGCGGCAGTCTGCCTGCAGTGGTGTAGTGTGTAGTGTGTGTAGTATATAGTGCGTGCGGTGTGGTGAGGTATGTGGTGTACCTGTGTGCAGTGTGTAGCGCCCGCGCAAGCGCACAGTCGAGCAGGCGGCAGTCTGCCTGCAGTGGTGTAGTGTGTAGTGTGTGTAGTATATAGTGCGTGCGGTGTGGTGAGGTATGTGGTGTACCTGTGTGCAGTGTGTAGCGCCCGCGCAAGCGCACAGTCGAGCAGGCGGCAGTCTGCCTGCAGTGGTGTAGTGTGTAGTGTGTGTAGTATATAGTGCGTGCGGTGTGGTGAGGTATGTGGTGTACCTGTGTGCAGTGTGTAGCGCCCGCGCAAGCGCACAGTCGAGCAGGCGGCAGTCTGCCTGCAGTGGTGCAGTGTGTAGTGTGTGTAGTATATAGTGCGTGCGGTGTGGTGAGGTATGTGGTGTACCTGTGTGCAGTGTGTAGCGCCCGCGCAAGCGCACAGTCGAGCAGGCGGCAGTCTGCCTGCAGTGGTGCAGTGTGTAGTGTGTGTAGTATATAGTGCGTGCGGTGTGGTGAGGTATGTGGTGTACCTGTGTGCAGTGTGTAGCGCCCGCGCAAGCGCACAGTCGAGCAGGCGGCAGTCTGCCTGCAGTGGTGTAGTGTGTAGTGTGTGTAGTATATAGTGCGTGCGGTGTGGTGAGGTATGTGGTGTACCTGTGTGCAGTGTGTAGCGCCCGCGCAAGCGCACAGTCGAGCAGGCGGCAGTCTGCCTGCAGTGGTGTAGTGTGTAGTGTGTGTAGTATATAGTGCGTGCGGTGTGGTGAGGTATGTGGTGTACCTGTGTGCAGTGTGTAGCGCCCGCGCAAGCGCACAGTCGAGCAGGCGGCAGTCTGCCTGCAGTGGTGTAGTGTGTAGTGTGTGTAGTATATAGTGCGTGCGGTGTGGTGAGGTATGTGGTGTACCTGTGTGCAGTGTGTAGCGCCCGCGCAAGCGCACAGTCGAGCAGGCGGCAGTCTGCCTGCAGTGGTGCAGTGTGTAGTGTGTGTAGTATATAGTGCGTGCGGTGTGGTGAGGTATGTGGTGTACCTGTGTGCAGTGTGTAGCGCCCGCGCAAGCGCACAGTCGAGCAGGCGGCAGTCTGCCTGCAGTGGTGCAGTGTGTAGTGTGTGTAGTATATAGTGCGTGCGGTGTGGTGAGGTATGTGGTGTACCTGTGTGCAGTGTGTAGCGCCCGCGCAAGCGCACAGTCGAGCAGGCGGCAGTCTGCCTGCAGTGGTGTAGTGTGTAGTGTGTGTAGTATATAGTGCGTGCGGTGTGGTGAGGTATGTGGTGTACCTGTGTGCAGTGTGTAGCGCCCGCGCAAGCGCACAGTCGAGCAGGCGGCAGTCTGCCTGCAGTGGTGTAGTGTGTAGTGTGTGTAGTATATAGTGCGTGCGGTGTGGTGAGGTATGTGGTGTACCTGTGTGCAGTGTGTAGCGCCCGCGCAAGCGCACAGTCGAGCAGGCGGCAGTCTGCCTGCAGTGGTGTAGTGTGTAGTGTGTGTAGTATATAGTGCGTGCGGTGTGGTGAGGTATGTGGTGTACCTGTGTGCAGTGTGTAGCGCCCGCGCAAGCGCACAGTCGAGCAGGCGGCAGTCTGCCTGCAGTGGTGTAGTGTGTAGTGTGTGTAGTATATAGTGCGTGCGGTGTGGTGAGGTATGTGGTGTACCTGTGTGCAGTGTGTAGCGCCCGCGCAAGCGCACAGTCGAGCAGGCGGCAGTCTGCCTGCAGTGGTGTAGTGTGTAGTGTGTGTAGTATATAGTGCGTGCGGTGTGGTGAGGTATGTGGTGTACCTGTGTGCAGTGTGTAGCGCCCGCGCAAGCGCACAGTCGAGCAGGCGGCAGTCTGCCTGCAGTGGTGTAGTGTGTAGTGTGTGTAGTATATAGTGCGTGCGGTGTGGTGAGGTATGTGGTGTACCTGTGTGCAGTGTGTAGCGCCCGCGCAAGCGCACAGTCGAGCAGGCGGCAGTCTGCCTGCAGTGGTGTAGTGTGTAGTGTGTGTAGTATATAGTGCGTGCGGTGTGGTGAGGTATGTGGTGTACCTGTGTGCAGTGTGTAGCGCCCGCGCAAGCGCACAGTCGAGCAGGCGGCAGTCTGCCTGCAGTGGTGTAGTGTGTAGTGTGTGTAGTATATAGTGCGTGCGGTGTGGTGAGGTATGTGGTGTACCTGTGTGCAGTGTGTAGCGCCCGCGCAAGCGCACAGTCGAGCAGGCGGCAGTCTGCCTGCAGTGGTGTAGTGTGTAGTGTGTGTAGTATATAGTGCGTGCGGTGTGGTGAGGTATGTGGTGTACCTGTGTGCAGTGTGTAGCGCCCGCGCAAGCGCACAGTCGAGCAGGCGGCAGTCTGCCTGCAGTGGTGTAGTGTGTAGTGTGTGTAGTATATAGTGCGTGCGGTGTGGTGAGGTATGTGGTGTACCTGTGTGCAGTGTGTAGCGCCCGCGCAAGCGCACAGTCGAGCAGGCGGCAGTCTGCCTGCAGTGGTGTAGTGTGTAGTGTGTGTAGTATATAGTGCGTGCGGTGTGGTGAGGTATGTGGTGTACCTGTGTGCAGTGTGTAGCGCCCGCGCAAGCGCACAGTCGAGCAGGCGGCAGTCTGCCTGCAGTGGTGCAGTGTGTAGTGTGTGTAGTATATAGTGCGTGCGGTGTGGTGAGGTATGTGGTGTACCTGTGTGCAGTGTGTAGCGCCCGCGCAAGCGCACAGTCGAGCAGGCGGCAGTCTGCCTGCAGTGGTGTAGTGTGTAGTGTGTGTAGTATATAGTGCGTGCGGTGTGGTGAGGTATGTGGTGTACCTGTGTGCAGTGTGTAGCGCCCGCGCAAGCGCACAGTCGAGCAGGCGGCAGTCTGCCTGCAGTGGTGTAGTGTGTAGTGTGTGTAGTATATAGTGCGTGCGGTGTGGTGAGGTATGTGGTGTACCTGTGTGCAGTGTGTAGCGCCCGCGCAAGCGCACAGTCGAGCAGGCGGCAGTCTGCCTGCAGTGGTGCAGTGTGTAGTGTGTGTAGTATATAGTGCGTGCGGTGTGGTGAGGTATGTGGTGTACCTGTGTGCAGTGTGTAGCGCCCGCGCAAGCGCACAGTCGAGCAGGCGGCAGTCTGCCTGCAGTGGTGTAGTGTGTAGTGTGTGTAGTATATAGTGCGTGCGGTGTGGTGAGGTATGTGGTGTACCTGTGTGCAGTGTGTAGCGCCCGCGCAAGCGCACAGTCGAGCAGGCGGCAGTCTGCCTGCAGTGGTGCAGTGTGTAGTGTGTGTAGTATATAGTGCGTGCGGTGTGGTGAGGTATGTGGTGTACCTGTGTGCAGTGTGTAGCGCCCGCGCAAGCGCACAGTCGAGCAGGCGGCAGTCTGCCTGCAGTGGTGTAGTGTGTAGTGTGTGTAGTATATAGTGCGTGCGGTGTGGTGAGGTATGTGGTGTACCTGTGTGCAGTGTGTAGCGCCCGCGCAAGCGCACAGTCGAGCAGGCGGCAGTCTGCCTGCAGTGGTGCAGTGTGTAGTGTGTGTAGTATATAGTGCGTGCGGTGTGGTGAGGTATGTGGTGTACCTGTGTGCAGTGTGTAGCGCCCGCGCAAGCGCACAGTCGAGCAGGCGGCAGTCTGCCTGCAGGCGGCGGCAACGTGCTCGCCACCACGCGCACCGCGCCCCGCAAACACCACCCTCCACAACGTCTCCACCATCTGGAAACAGGCCACCACCCCATCAACACATACATACCCATCTCGCTCAAACTCCGTTTATATCTTTAACTCTGTTTCGAGCCCACTTTCAATAATAATTATAAATAATTATTTCAGTAAATAATTTTGATAGATATTAACTATTGAAATATTTATATCAATTATTAATATTTTAAATAATTATTATTGAAAGTTGGCTTGAAACACAGCTAAATATATCGGGTGTCACAAAATGCAACGTGTAGCACGAATGGGTCGGCTCGACCGGAGAAGGACCTCGCTCTTACAGAATACCAACGTAAAATAGCTGCTTAACGCTGCTGTGTTTCGTATGGTGAGTTTAGAGAACCGGAGACCCTTTTTTACTGTAAACGAGGAATTCCTTCTTAGTCCTCACGGGTGACAACACATCTGCATTTTGATTCATAATCGAAGATAGATGTAGATGTCTATGGGCCACAGTAACCACTTACCATCAGGTGGACTGTGTGCTCGTTTGTCACTGAATGATTTTAAGAAACAGTAGTTTTGGTGGTTCCGGTAGATTGCTGTTCCTGTTTTATGATATAAATGATGTTTTATGTGAATTTTAATTCGTAAAATTGGTGCTATTTTGTGTACCACTTGTATGTCGCATGTGAAGTCGAAACCATTTAACAAGTACTTCAATGTCCTTCCCCGGTCGAGCCGACCCATTAGTACTACAACTATACTCGAAATATAGCTGTAGCATGGCTCTACCACGTACAACACAATGTACGACGTCCTACAAAAATGCCGAATTGTTAAATTGTTTGATGCAAAAAGTAAATCTGCCACGTCAAATTTACAAAAAGACGGCATTACCTTTTACATATACAAGTAATTTTAGTGACATTACAATAATAACGGTCGTGTTGTTTCGAATTACTTTAGCAACTCAGGCCGCTCGCGCTCATACAAATATGCAGATCGGTAGAGCGATAGATCCGAGTCTGTATCCGAGATGTATTAGAGTGTGCCAATAGAGATATAATAGGGGCCCCGGTTTCATTTCGAATGGAGATATCGGAAACGCTCATATACGCTAATGGTGACCACCGTTGGGTTTTAGCCGATAGGGAGTCTGACATAACCTTTATGTTGCCCCTGCAGCCGACGGTATTCATAAGGATTTCCAGACAATAAAAAAGCCATACGCAGGCGTTCCCCTTAAGGTGACACTAGTCGACATTATTTCCATAGAAATTTCGGAGGGGTTTTACTCCGCTGTTTGACAGTGTACATCCAAAATTAAACATGATATCGTTTTGTCTCATTATTAAATTTGTCTGTACGGAAACAGAATAGTAAAATAAAATGTTATTAAAAAGTTACGAGCTACCAAAGATTCGTTTTTATTGCCAATTTTAACACAACTTTGGGCGTAAATTAGTAATAAAATAAGTGTAAAATTTCCAAAACAAAGTCTGTACCGACACAGGTCAATTATCGAAGAACTCAATAAATTCTATTTGTAATTGATTAATGCAGTGGTTTTTTCATAAAACCCCTTCTTCCAAAGGCCTTTTCGTATTTTTTTACGCGCGCATGTTACTATGAATTATCGTGCATCTCACTGAATAATGTCTCCCCCGGTGCGGTGCGGGAGGACGATGCTTACACACACATACACAGGCGGTGACGCGCGCTTATATTCGAGTTTTATTCGAAACGAAAAGTTTTGCTATTTTGTAATTTGGACGCCAAAGACAAAAGACGGCATGGAAATTGATATAATTGAAAGAGATGATGCGTTTTGGACGACAGACAATATTTTAAAATTTTCGTCTGTAATATAATATAATTATAAAAGTAAAAAAAGTAAAGTCTATATTCGATTACTATATAAAATTGCAACAATTTCATTGGTGCCGACGGGGCTCGAACCCGGGTTGTTCGCGTAATGTGATACTTACAGCGAGCGCTAACCATCTGAGCTACCACGGCTCTCACTGCAAGTGTTACGAGTATAAATAAATAAAGAATTACAAAACAGTTTAATTATTTATTAGACGACTTTTGCGGCGGATAAACAAAGTATATTATGTGGGATTTTCATAGGTACCTACTATTATTACCTAGATACCTACAATCTACAATACAACAAAATGTCACAAAACCTCGCCGCGTCGTGGCCACAAAATTGTAAACTTTAGGTAGGTACGTCAGTACTAAGAAAACAATCTTGATGGGTCACCTGTCTTGATAAAAACCTGTGCTTACGTTTAGTGATATTGAGTATATATAAGAAAATAAGAAGCCAGGTAAGTAAGTATTTTTGAAAACAATTTATAAGTAGGCAGACCAATTACGATTATTATCTAAATATTATAAATGCGAAAGTTTGGATATTTGGATGGACGGATGAATGGATGTATGTTACTCAATCACGCCAGAACGGCTGAAGGGATCTGGATGATATTTTGCTCAGAGATAGGCTATAGTCCGGAATTTTTTTTTTCAAAAAAACGTTACCCCACACTAGGATTTTCTCCTGTATCGTGGAGGCAGTTTACAAACATCCAGACCCGGAACAATTATTTGTAGACCATACAAATACTTGTTCGATTGATTCGAACCCGCGGCTCCCAGTACAACAATTCATTGCTAAGCCACTGCGCCACGGAGCTGCCAAATATCATATATGATACCGTTTATTCAGGTATTTCGTTGCCGTGGGATAATTATCGAGTTACACACGTTCGAAGCTGAACTCTTGAGTGATTGCTGCATGACCACTCGGGGAAAACTAAACATAATAAAATAAGCAATCTATATTAGGTATATAGAGCCACAGAGGTATACCTAATAATTTCGCGGTTTCACCCGCGTCATCACGTGTCCGAGATGCGTGGCATGACATGACACCTAGTTCAAGCATTTTATAATTGCAATCAAATATTTTATTTGATTGTAATGTATGGAAAAATTGTCATAATTAATGGAGTACTTTTATTTTATCTGTCCGCATATTATGCGCGGTTTTTTCCAGTTTTAAAGAAAAACGTACACGATACATGAAAAGTGTGTAGGCAAGAAATGGTTCTTGATAAATTTGCTATCAACCTCATTAATCAATTAAATTTAAACTTTCAAAATACCATAGCAACGTGAAATGAAAGAGTTCAGAAATAAAGATGTAACTAATCATTGCTACGGTTACCCGGGAGATAGATAAAAGTACTCAATTAATTTTGAATTTATTTTAGCTACTAGCTTTACCCCGCGACTTCGTCCGCGTTTAGTTTAGGGCGTTAATATTGTTGCAAAGACACCTAATAATTTTTCTAAAATTTAAGCAGGCTAAGTTACTTCTTATAACATGAGCTATCTACTAGTGAAAGTCCCGCCAAAGTCGGTCCAGCCGTTTTGGAAATTAACCGCAACAAACAGACTGACAGACATACAAAAATGTTAAAAATTGTGTTAATGTTATAAGTACCGTATACAGTTTCATACGCAATTAGTAAAAAGCTGTTATTTTGACATTACAAACAGACACTTCAATTTTATTTATTTGTGTAGATATAGATAACGATTGAACTAACGGCTAACCTAACCTCGCTCAAAGAAGCTTTCAATACTGGCTTCTCAGTTCGCACCGAGCTAGGGGTTATGCGTTGTTTGCGCGTCAAGCCAAGTAGGTATTGAATTAGTTTAATTTTACATTATCTCTTAAACTATGTACTATATAAACATGGTATAAAGAACGAAGTTTATCTTCATAAAATTGTCTTGATAATGAAGTAACTTTGGTTCGTAAGGTGCCTAATAATTAAATTTTCATTTTTTTTTGTCACAAAATGCCTAATTGTGGCTTATATATAAGAAATAGACATATGGTATCGCGGACTTTTTTTAGACGGAGTAAAGATCTATATTTTTCTAGAACATTGTATTTACGTATCCCGAACCATAACAGCGCTTTTTCTTCTGACTTCCTTAACAAATATAGGCTAGCTGAGATATATAGCCTAATGCTGTATAGCCTATACTATTCAACATGAATCTGGCTATAATATCCAAAAAAAGATTTTTCAAATCGGACTGGTAGTTCCAGAGATTAGCACGTTTAAACAAACAAAAACCCTCTACTGCTTTATTATATTAGTATAGATGTTGCATCGTGTTCGTGTAACTTCGTTTTTATTCTAACGGTTCGGAACACCGTACGAACAAGACATGCGTGAATACTAGTGTCGATATGCTCATCACTGATACTATCTCTGTCGGGCACGATGCCAGGTGAGACAGCGTGCTTTTTGGCCGCGCCTACCAACGAGTTCGAGTCCGCGACTTGTGCCACCTTAACGTATAAGTCGACGCGGTCCGAGAACTAGACTAAATCTAGTTACGCGGTGAATCAACGCCCTACAAAAATGCCGATATGTTCAGTTCAATTTACTTTCAGAGTAATTACTAGAATAGAAGGAATCCTACAATAAGAACAAAATTCTTGTAGTTGAACTCTTTATACATAAGTCGTTTAACGTGGTACAAAGTATGTTCTTTTACAGGGTTGTTACCGTTTCTCCATTACATAGACACCTCTATTGATGAGCGAAATAAAAAGTTGTCGATAAACTCATTTGGTCTACGACTTAGTAAAATTAAGCATTTTGGTTAATTAATTTATTTTTAATACTTATTTATATCAATTTGTTTGACATCTTACAACTGCAACGTAGTCGAAACGCGGAATTTCGCACTATCGTGGTAATTTAAAATATATCGTGGAAAGGTCACTATGAAATCTACTAAAATTCAGCCTGTATATTTCTGCCAAATTATCCCTAGATCCTGCGTTTCGTTGAAGAACGAAGCCGATGCCGCATTGAGGATCCGATCTCTTTACATTTGCATCGTCTGGAGTCTAATAGGTCAACGAACTTCAAATCCTACGTACTCCATGTTCCTGCAAAACATAAAGAGACATTCTTCGCTCCCGATTTCTGGCCCTCTGGGGTAGTGTTTCGCCG